AAAAAAGCAGCTTATTGCTTAAGAGAGACCATTCTTTTATCTGTCAGTAGGACCACAATAAATTTAGTAACATCATGTGTGTTGAGCCAAATGAATATATCACTGTGGTTTTTTTCCCTGACATTTGGCATTAAGTAATCTGGAGCCCAGTAAAGTATTTATTAAGGCCAAAAAAGCACATGATGTCATACACCTCCTTAATACTTGATGCAGTTATGGGATATGTTTCTATATCTATAAACTACATTATAAGAGAATAGTGAAAGAGTAGGAGAGGATTTTAAGGACTGAGAATATCAAGCAGGGAAAAACATGCATGGAAAATCAGAACAGCAGAAATAGGAAAAAGCCAAATAATACACACAGAATTGGGAAACAAATTGACAGACATGATAGAAATCTGAGGAGAAACAGGACTTTGAAATTTGATTTTCACTCTGTAATGGCAGCAGTGGAACAGGTGGGTGAGACTGAGGCAGTGGGAGCTGTAGGTGTGTCACCAGAGCAAATTGTGCCAGAGGGTGTGTTGTGAGTTAGTTGTTCGTGGCTGTCAATGAAATTAAAGGGAGCCACATTTAAAACTGGGACAAAACAGTGTTCTCTGTCCCAGGGCACATCCAGCTCTGGGAGCTCCTATTGCTGTGGACAGTCAGGGAATAGCACAGGAAGAGGGGCTGTACCTTCATGTTACTGACAGCTCTCACAGGGGAAGGGGACACGTGCACACACACAGACATAGAGCTGGAGGGGAGGAAGGAGACTGTTTCAAAAGCAAAGCCAAATGCTTTCTGAAAGGGATATAAACTCTGGTGACTCGGGGTATAAATCAGCTTCTCACCAATGTGCTCAGGAAGCAGATTTCCCTGCAAGCCAGTTGTTGTGCTCCCACCTACCTGGAAGGCTCCATGAACCTCTCAGTGTATCACTTGGCTTCTTTTCCTTTTTTTTTAATGATGAAGCAGGGAGAATGCTTTCTTTGTTCCCAATTAGGTTGGCAATTTCTCAAATCCTCCACAACTTTTCAAGAAAAAAAATCAAGATCTTGACAAAAATGAAATGGATGTAAATTGCCAAAAAGAAAACATCAGAATAATGTTAAGTATGCAGATTTTTAAAATTTGGTACCTGACTTTATAGTAGAGACTTCTAGGATGATGTTATATTTAATTCTTAGCTTTACATTTAAAAATCATAGAAATATAAATTGTTTTCTGTTGCTTCACTTCTGGGAAACTTAGTTTTTTTAGTCTGTGGGTTGAACTAAGGAAGTTTATTATGTTCTGTTCCAAGATCAGCTTTTAAATGTTGCACTGTCTGTAAAGTGTGTAAGAAGCTGCACCGAATTTCCCTTCCCCCCCTTATAAATACAATTCCTTTAGGAGAAAAAAAAAGATGGAAGCTTCTACTGAGTAATTATGCCCCCTGGGAAATAGAATATAAAGATCTTTAAAATCATTCAACTGAGAGAACAAGCACTTTAACTTTTGCCTCGCAGGAGTCATGTATTACATCCCCAGCTCCTTGCTCCAGTGTCAGTGTGTCGTGCCTTGCAGGTTTGCAGCTTTGGCAGAGGAAATGAAACCCAGTCAGTTACTGCAGGATTTATTGCAGACCTGCTGCTGCAGGAAGTGGTGAAAAGCTGATTGATAGTCTGAGGCAAAACTCTACAACAAGAAACAGGATGTATGTTTGTTATTTTATACCCATTTTCCCCTCTGCCCTCACCACCCTCCATTTCAAGGCACTCTCTTGCTTTTTGGCCTCTGTTTATAAATCCACGATGCCCTTTTCTGGGAAGGCACGTGCTGACTTCCAAACACTCGAGGGAATGGATGGGGCTGCACCAAGGGTTGGAAGCCCATGTGGTGTGTCTGCTTTATTAGAGGCATTGATCTAAATGCTCCTGTTATTCCCGTTGAATTATATTTCAGCTGAATTCCAAGTGAAAGGTGAAGCACATCTACAGAGTACTGAGCATTTCCTGTGATAATGGGTGCACCAGGCTGGCTGGGAGAGGAGAATGGATCACTGAGATGGCCCCAATCAGCAAGTCCTGCTGGTTCATTCACATTTAACAGACACATCTACAAGGGTAGTAAACCAAAATGATTTTGCTGCATATAAACTTAATGCAGCCAGCCACATGTGCTGCCAAAGACAGCAGTCCTGGAAAGGTTTGTTCTGAACTGCCTTCTCCCTCCCTGTGCACTGCTGCAGCACCAAAGCAGCCATATCTTTTCTGAAAGTATCACGAAGACTTTCCGTGGGATATTGTCTAACCTTGTGGGCAAAGTTACCCCAAATAATCGTAATTATGAGTACTTTTTATTATTTTCCCCTCCTGTAGCATCTGCTTTTACAATCAGGACTGAAGAAGCTGTTCTGCACAGCAGGCAAATAGTAGAAATGTTTTAAGGTTTGTGTTCTCGTTACCGAACGGGAAAGTTCTGTTTGTAAAGTTCAGTAATACATCTTGTTCTTTTGTTAAAGGTCAAAAAAGTTGGCTGCACTCTCTGAGTCCTTGCAGAAAACCACGCTCACCAAGTCCCACATGGGGTTGGAACTGGAGGAGCTGGAAGCAGCAGCAGTGCTGGTACAGGAGGAAGAGAACGCGTTAAAAGCTGCTGGCACAGTTTCCAAGCAACAGCTGCTTTCCTCGGAGTCGGAGACGAGTGACTCTGAAGAATCAAGCAGCACTTCATCATCTGAGACAGAAGGCTCTGATTCAGATGAGCAAGAGTCCTCGACCAGTGAAGATGGGGAAATAAATTCCTTCCAAGGCACACTTGAGGAGGAGAGGACAGCTCCACTTATTGACTGTAATGGACTGAGGCAGGGCACAAACACCTCGGCGCTGGGGGTTACTGATGGAACAGCAGAGGCTTCTTTGCAGTCTGTGTCTCTTCCCGGGAAATTGATAGAGGAATTGGAAATGCAAATGCACTCTGCAATGAGGCTTTCAGAGCAGCCTGGAGGATTGGCTACTGTGAGCTGCGTTTCACAGGAACAAGCAGAAAACCCTGTACCCAAACCTGACAGATTTTCAGAAGATGCTGCTGGGAAGGGAAGTTTCTTGGAGGTGTCTTCAAAGCCAAACCCGTTGCTTTTTCTCTGCAGCACAAATGAAGATGAAGACTAAAGGACCATGTAGGAACACAGTGTGACCCACGGGCACACAGCTCATCACTGTGATGAGATGTCCCAAGGCTGTCCTGAGCTGCAGAAACATGTTTTTGTTTTTTGTTGGAGGACAAGACTGCTTTGAAAAGAATTTGTATGACTGTGTGTTAGACACCTTCACAGTTAATTTTTATTTTTCTCCTCTGATTCAACAGTCTGAGTTTTGATGTGGGAATGTATAATTTCAATAAACTTCTAGAAGCAGTCGTCATAAAGCTTATTCAGTGATGTCCTAGTGAAATACAACTGAAATGAGTTGTAGCATGATTTTAGTTATCTTTAGCTGTTGGGATTTACTTGAAAAAATATCATGTTTCTATAAACTTTTTTGACATTGAACTACTATTTCTTAATTTTAAAATGCTTTATAGCTAACCACTTCAAAAACAGCGGTTACAAGTTTAAAAGTCTAAATAGTTGATTGCAAATTCTTTTTAAATATATATTTTCTAAATTTTTGTACAAAATAAAGGCTATGTCTTTGTCGTCAGTACAAGAAAAAATGGTCATCTTATGTGTCCAAGGGATAGAAACTTATATTTCTGCAGTTCTTACAGAAGTTATTTTAGCAGTTTTGTCATCTATTTATTCTTTTTTGTTGTTTTTAAAATGTTGGGCACTCCTGTGGACATTTCTTTAGCTCTTTAAAGAACAGAAATCCCAGTTATTTCTTATTCCTGCATATGGCCCTATGGTAATGTTAACCAAAATGAAGGAACAATGTGGCACGTGGGTCACGAGCACAGGACTGAGAGCAAACCTGGGCTCTCTGGTCCTCACTTTGCTGATCTGGCACGTAGCTTTGGCCAACTTACCTGCTCCTTTTTGTCCTTATAATATTAAAACAATTCAGTCACTTGATATATTTCGTTAACTAGTTTCTGTTGTTGAAATCAGATGGCTACTGCAAATTATCAGCTGCCATTTAATCTCTACAGAAGGATTTGGGAAGGAAGGAGGATGGAACATGGACCACCAGGTTTGGTTTCAGCAGGAGCACAAACCCAAGAGGAGCCCCCTGATTCACACCTCTGAAGGAGCAAGTTGTGATTACTATTCAACCTTCTTGCTATTAAAAAGTGTATAAAAATCCCAAGCTTAAGGATTTGCTCTTCACCAGTGCTATTCCCTGCTGGAAATCAGCAGGTGAGCTCTGTTCCTGTGCTGGCTCCTGTTCAGTGAGAGCTGCAGCCCTGATCTGCCACTATTTTTTATGTTCTTAAATACCTGCTGGTCGCCTAATCAGTCTCTGTGTTCTGTTCCCTGGGGGAGAAACCTTTCCCATCCTGTGTGTCAGGGAGCATTTACTCTCCTAAATGCCAGCAATAAAATCTGTGCTGGAGCTGCCGCTGTCTGAGAGGGGAAAAAGGCACTTCAGGAAAAAAAAAAAAGCAAAGGTCCTCCTGCTTTCCCCAAATTACAGGTGTGAATTCTGGAACTTCCTGCAGCTGAACAGGGGCTGGAGAAACTCTGTGCCTTTTTGCAAAACTGTTTTCTGGTCATGAGAATGGAATTTGATTGTTGTATGTTGATTGATGGCAATGAGCAGCACCTGTATGAAAAAGAAGCCCTGCTTCTCCAAAAAGAATGCACAGAGACACTTCTAAAAGAGAAGTGGAGCTCTAATGTTGTTTAGCCAGAATTAAGGCTTACTGAATCTGTGAACCACCAACACTTGGGAAAACAAAAAAAAAAACAAATCCCACCACTACCCCTGACCCCTCAATCCCATAAGCTCCTGTGGGTTCTGAAAGAAGCCAGGGAATTCTGGTAAGGAGTCAGATTTCTGGAGAGGAGCTATTTGGATGAATCCATAGGAATTGTTTTGCAAATCTTCCAGGCTGAAAATCAGCTGCTGTCTGAGGAACCCAATACATGTATGGTCTGTTTGGTTGGCTTTAAAATTCTCCCTGTCTCTAGTGCCCTTCCCCACCCTGTGCACCCAGGCTGATTGGTAGCACAGCCAGTACTTGGTTTTAAGGCATTTGTTGCTCATCATCATAATCTTCCCAAAAGGAACAGAACTGCAGTGTCTGTCCTGGAAATATGTTTGAATATGAGCTAAGCCTGAGGGAGGAATGCTGGGGCATTTTGCTGGATGAGGGGAAAGCAGCTTGTCTGAGGTGTCTGGAGTGCTCTGGGGGAGAGATTAAATAGAGTTGGGTTGGCAATATAATTTGTTTATTGTTAATCAGTGAAGCTTATATCAGTGATTAGGGCAGCTAGACTGTTCTGTGTGTGGCAGAGCTCCCCTGGGGCCAGTGAAGTGTCTGTGGGGAGATGGCTCCAGGTAACATCCTGACACTTGTCCATGGACCTCTCTGGGACAGCACCGACCTCCCTTCTTATCCAGAGCCAAGCAAAGGCACGGTCCCAACCCCACGTCCTCACAGAGCTGAGCTGTCCTTAGGGAAAGCTGGGAAATGATTGGCAGCAGCCTGAATTCCTGCCTGAGGCCCTGGCAGGGGTCTGTTCGCCATCCTGGAGCGCTGCTCCTGCCAAGGAGAGCAGGAGAGGGAACTGTGTGTGCTCTTGGTGGCACAAGTGCCAGTCCTGCTGCCCTGGGCTGCCCTGAGCCCTGGTAAATGGAAACGGAGACAAATCCGATGTTCTCAGGCTTTGGCTGCACTGAGGGGGCAACATGAAGTGTGTGGGGAGGGAGGGAGGCTCTTGCATCCAGGAATTGGCTGGAAAAGGATGGAGATGCATCGTGTGAGGGGGGTGCTTGTTCACACGGAGCTTTAAGAATAAGGTGTTCAAAGCAACAAGTGAAATACTGGAAACAATCAGAAGGAGATAAACAGAAGCGGGTTTTGCTCTTTTCTCCTTTTTCTTGGTGTCGACAGTGTGACTCACAGGACATTGCCACCTTCTTTCCCCAAATTAAAAATCAGTGCTGAATTGACTAACAACCCTAACTACTCTGTGATTAAATTATTCCCCCTCCCCCCCCAGCTTTCCTTAATCCCAAACAGTTTTCTGAAAAGCCTGTAAAGGCTTTGCTCTACGTCTAAAGAAGAAAGCATCGATTAGATTTGATTTACTGCAATAAATGATAAATATGGCAAAGGAATTGATTCACAGCACTGAGTGAAGGGGCTGGGCAACCCTCTGCCACTGCCACAGCTGAGTGTTGTCACAGCCCGAGCCGATGGCTCAAGGCTGGAGAAAACAAACAGGGAAACACATGTCAAACAGATAAATTGCTCTGCTGTTTAGAGCTCTCCGTGGAGGCCATTTGTCTCCAAGATAAGGAAGAATGCACTCCAAAGCCGGGAGAAGATAAGGAGGGAGAAGAAAATGAATGTGGAGTTGCTGTGGTGGCACTTGGGTGTTGGCACAGGGAGAGAATGATGTCCCCCCACATCTGTAGGGAGCAGGGTAAGCACCCAGCTTACCCAGTCCAGTGTGAACTTGCAGACTTTTCTTAAATATTTCAGGAGTGGATGGTATTTATACCTCTATAGCAGACAAACAAATGGTGTCATGTCAGTTGTCTGAGTCACTGGAGTGTTTTCTGAGCCTGTCGTGGATCTGTCCCTCCCTTTTTTGGTGGTAAGTGGGCTGCAGCCTGTGGTTATGTGGGCATATGTGAGCCATGATTTTGCATTGACACAACAAATTTGGGTTTGTAGTATTGTGGTACCCATAAATCATGCCATGTTTTATATTCTTAGGTTTTGGAGAAGTAACAGTCCCACTGTGACAAATGCTGCATTTGGAGACCTGACTGAGAATGGATCCAAAATGCTCTTGGTGATGTTGGTTTGCATTTCATTAACTGTTTTCTCATATTCACAAGCCACAAGACAATGAGTACAGTTGGTGGCATTTTGGAGGATGCTTGGGGACAAAAACAAGAGCTGTGTCCCTTAGGTGAGGACTAAGATGTTGGCAGAGCTCCATGAAGGAGGAAAGCTCCCAACAGCAGGTGATTTCTGTGGGAGAAGCTTCCTTTATAGTGATTAGCATGGAAAAGGGCAAAAAGTTTCAGGTTTAGAAACCAGCAAGGTCAGCAGGTGGTAATGTTACTCGCCAGTGACCCCAGGAGCTTGGTGGCCAGTCCATCTCTTTGCTGTTGATGTTCTGAGTGACTCTGGAAATCATTTTCCTTGCTTTCACAGAGGTACCCAGCCTAACTCAGGAAGGTTCAGACTTTGGAAAGGGGATACAAAAATACCTTAAAAAGGATTAAAACTCAAATCTGACAGTGGAGACTTCCATATCTGCTACTGACTTGTGCTGAGCAAGAGTATAAGAGGCTAAAATCTACCATTTCTGATGTATTCTCTACTGCCCCTCTGTGTATCAGTGTCCCAGTGTCTGACTCAAGGCTGTTGGTGTCTTGGGAGCTGTGGTGCTCACCCACACCAGCTGGAGTCACTGCTTCTCTAAACCCCTGAAAACCTGACAAACCTGGCCAAAATTAGGTCCCAGAAATCTCTTAAGAAATATAACAAAAGGACGTGTCTCAAGGCTCGGCCTCTGTTCCACTGTGTATCAATACCTCCATAAAACCTCTGAGCCCTCTGCCCAGGGGGGTCTGTGAGGCCTCAGCACCACTTTAACAAGACTCTGGTGGTTGTCTGGGAAAGGTTGTGTTCCCAGGCAATCCTGGGGCATAGCCTTGCTTCACGTCCATAAACCAAGATTAAACCCACTGTGTGTATGTGGGACTGGTTCTAGAACTGGAAAGAGATCCCTGGCGTTTCCTCTTGGCAGGAAGGTCACCTTCCTTGAAGAGCCCAGGAATTAATAACTCTCTCATTCCTATCACTGATTTGGCTTGTACCCCTCTTTTCCATGCAGGACCCCCCTTCTGGTGTATTGCCCTGCTCCACGAGGTCCCCTTTCTGTTCACCTCTCCCCACATCACCTGTTCACAGGGTGCTTGTCTGCAGCACACCTGCTCTTTATGTCAATATATTTTATATTATTTTATGTTTATATAATATTTTTTAATTGTGCCACTCAGATTACGGTGAGACCTCACCCTGCCCTGCTTTCCATGGGGTGGGAGCTGCAAGGGATGAAGAAGACACAGAGGAGAGAAGCTGCTGAGCAGGGAGCACAGAGCCAGCACTGACCTTAAACAAAACTGTGCCTGGGGAGCGACGGGAGGAGAAAGTTCAGCAGCCACTTTTGTCAGGAGCCAGCAGCTGTGTGTGCTTGAGCCCAGCCATGCAGGCCTTGGCTCTCCATGGAGG